AGAAGCCATCAATGCGTTGATGAAGGAGAGCAAAGGTCCTGTTAAGAGCCAGGTGAGTGATAGAAATATGAATAAGAAATTTAATGATTACGAGGTAAATAAAAGATTTGTGGAAATGATCATTTGCCATCGTTGCGGATGGCGAGGACATAAAAGGGATACCTGCGTAGTCCCAGAGCAAAGGTTTAAAGATGGATTTCCGTTAAAGAGACCTGAAATAGGAAATGCTAATGTAAAAATGGTTAGTTTAAATGGGACCAGATTATGTTTTAAATGTAAAAGGCTGGGACATGTAGCTGTGGACTGCATGGAAGTATCACGAAATTCGTGTTGACTATATGATTGCAAGGTGAATCATATAGGAGTCGGGGCTCCGAGAGTTCGGAAAAATTTGTGTAATAAAACATTTAATATTATTAGTCGAAATGAGGGAAATGATAGAATTAAAATAAGAAATCATTCTCGTAATTTCCCTGAGAGGGAGGTTAGTCGATTTAGGTGGGAACAATATCCGAGGAATATTGTCCGTTATTCTTTTAGAAGGGATGTTAAGAATTTTATTTGGGAAAGATGTCCCACAAATCTTGTTAAAAGAAATGTAATTGTCAGTAATAAAAATTTAAATTCCGAGTTGAATTTAAGGGGCAATGAGAATGCCAATGAAATTATTATTTTAGATAAAATAAACGCTGAGTCTCCGATTAAAACATATGATATTTTAATGACGGAAATCGCCATATCCTGATTATTTAAAAAATCTCTTATCTAACTCCTTAGATCCCTTGCACAAAAATTTCATGCATCATATTAGATCTTATAATAGTGCGATCGCCTTCGCCAGTATGGGAGCACAAATTTCAGAATTATCAGGTAATTGACCTTATTGTTTTAAAGTTCATGGGCAAATTTATCATCGCACATCGCATTTATATCCCCAGACTGATATTCTACCTAAATTTGCTCAGTTATATGTGTTGGATACATCTCAGGCCATTGCAGGACATCTTCAGCACCCTGCCAATTCTGATTGTGATATAAATATCAAGAGACATTTAGATGAGCTTATACGACAAATTAATCCCTATGCTTTAAGTTTCAAAACCTTAGGGGAAGTTGAGAAAGCTGAGTTATCCCTTGCAGAACATTCAAATATATTACTGCCAAAGATTAATATGATATTTCGCGGAGATCGTTCTAGCGACCGTAGGCGGTATAATTTTCCTACAATTGATTACGTAGCAATGATTTTTACAAATGATGATGGGGAACCTCCCTTTAAGAGAGATATAAAAGTGTATCCTATATCCAATGGGAATAATTTAGTAATTCTTAACGCATTAAGCCCTAATTTAGACCCAATGGTTTACCCTGTACTATTTCCTCATGGAGATCCAGGTTGGCATCCTAATATGATTGCTGAAGGCTTTGAAAATTCTGGGCGTTCAAAAATATCCATGCTACAATTTAAAATTGCCCGTTTAGCGGTAAGACAAAATATTTTTAACCCCCTTCTTAATGCCGGGAGACTAACTCAACAATATATTGTAGATTCCTATCTACAAGTTGAAGCTAATAATCTTAATTTCATAAAGTTTAATCAGTCTAAGTTACGCGTTGAGGAATATTCAGGACTAATGGATTATTTAGCCTCCGATTTTTCCAATAATATTAATATACCTATAGGACGGGCAGTTATTCTACCATCTTCTTTTCAAGGTTCTCCTAGAAACATGCAAGAGCGTTATCACGACGCAATGTCTATCGTCTTAAAATATGACAAACCCGATCTTTTTATAACTTTTACTTGCAACCCAACATGGCCCGAAATATCCGAAAATCTTTTTAACGGTCAAACGCCTGCCGATAGACCTGATATAGTTTCTAGAGTTTTTAAAATTAAATTAGCTGCTTTTTTATCTGATATCACTAAAAATAACATGTTCGGGAAAACATTGGCATATGTTTATACAATTGAATTTCAAAAAAGAGGATTACCTCAAATCCGTAAATTATTGACGATAACGACTCCAAAGGGGTTGTTTGCGTTTTGTAGATTACCATTTGGGTTGAGTGTATCTGCTCCCATTTTTCAACGGACCATGGCGTCAGTTTTCCAAGGATTGGAAGGAGTATTTTATTATATGGATGATGTATTAATTACTGGAGTGACGCCGGAGCAGCATAATCAACGTTTGGAGGAAGTGTTTAGGAGAATTCGTGATAAAGGCTTGAGAGCTAGTAAGGAGAAAAGTGTTCTGGGGGTAATGGAGGTTGAATATTTGGGTCATCGGATTAATGGAATTGAAGTGAAACCTTTGGATAAAAATTTGAAGAATATATCGAACATGAAACGGCCTGACACTAAGGCTGAGTTGCAGTCTTTTTTGGGTATGGTCAATTATTACCATAGGTTCGTGGAAGATTTTGCAAAGGTGGCGGCGCCGTTATATGATTTATTGAAAAAAGGAATTCATTATGAGTGGAAGGATGTACAGCAGATTGCTTTTGAAATTTTAAAGGAAAAAATTGGAAAAAAGCCAATTTTGGTGTGTTTTGATAATGAGTTGGAAATTGTTTTGGCGGTGGATGCCTCAAATAAAGGAGTTGGTGGTGCGTTATTACAGGTAATAGAGGGCTTGGAGAGACCCGTATTGTTTTTCTCGCGTGTTTTTCGTGAGGTGGAAACCAGGTATTCTGTGATTGAACAGGAGGCCCTGGCTGTGATTTTCGGGTTGACGAAATGTCGTGAATATTTGATTGGTAAAAAATTTGTAATTTTTACTGATCACAAACCGTTAATTCACTTATTTCGGAAAAACAATCGGGAGTTAATGATGTCTCCCCGGTTACAACGTTGGTTGTTGTTGGTGGGCAGCTTTAATGTGGAGATCCGATATCGTTGCGGTAAAGAGAATTGTTTGCCTGATAGTTTGTCCCGATTAGGATTAAGTGAAGGAAATGATGAAGGGAACAAGGATAAGGTTCGAAACAGTGAAAAAGCCCTGGTTTGTTCGCTTTCGCATATGCTGAAAGGGGGTCCTACCAATTGGGAGGAACTTAAGTTGAGTACATTGAGAGATAGAGAAATGACTAGGATAAAGTTATGTGTAATGGGGAAAAAGACTTGGGAGGAGGATTGTAAAGTTTTTAAAAAGGTGAAGGAGGAATTGTCTGTGATAGATGATTGTTTAATGAGGGGTAATCGTGCTGTAATTCCGTTCAAATTAAGGGGTAAAATTTTAAATTTGTTGCATGCTGGACATCAAGGTGGGAAGATGAAATCGTGGGCGCGTGAATATGTTTGGTGGCCGGGTATGGGAAGAGATATTGAAAATATCACAAGGACATGTGAACCGTGTAATTCGTGTGCGGCGATGCCCCGATAGGAGGTGGGTCAGATATGGCCTAGGTGGAGAAAACCGTGGGAGCGCTTACATGTTGATTTTTTCGATTTAGACAAAAGGTCGTATTTTTTAGTAGTGGATTCGTATTCGAAATGGATAGAGTACGAGGAGGTACATGGATATACCACGAAAATTGTTGTAAGGAAATTGAGGGCATTAATGGCCAGGTTTGGATTGCCGGATACCATTGTATCTGATGGAGGACCTGCCTTTGTTAGCGAAAATTTCAAGCAGTTTTGTAAAGAGTCTAGGATTCGACACATTTTGACCCCGCCCTATCATCCCAGCTCAAATGGTCAAGCTGAGAGGATGGTAGCAATTGTTAAGAATTGGATAAGAAAGGCCGGCAATCAGGGGAATGGGGTGTATTTGGCCCAGTTGTATTACCTCAATTCTAGGAATAAGGAGGGAGTGACACCTGCTGAATTGTTTTTGGGTCGGAGGACTAGGGTTCCCCTAGATTTTCTAAGGGCCGAGAGTCACGAGAAGGGAGTTCTGGAGGACCGAAAGATTAGGTTTGAAGTTGGAGAAAAAGTATGGACTCGTTTGTTTGACGGGAAGGGCAAGAAATGGGCCAGGGGCATAGTTGGGGTAAACAGAGGTTCAAAGTTGAATTTGATTCAATTAGAAATGGGCGGCACAGTGATGCGCCACAATGATCATATAAGACCGCGGAAGTAAATCTGAGGTACCTCATATGATAATATAAATATGAAAATATATGTATAAATAAAATGAAGGTGCATCCCGAAGGATTAGACTCGTTTCCGAGTAAATATATAATGTGTAAATGAAGGTTTGGGTAACATATTGTATGTGGGAATGGGAAGTTAAAGGATCAAACAGGAGAGGAGCTCATCTTAAAGTGGTAAATATATATATTTATGCAAAGTTAAAGCATGAAGGAGTAAAATGTACGTGAACGATCGGTAACCTTTTTTGTTTAAGTTTATGTATTATTATATGATGGTATTAGAATTTATTGATAGATGTTATGTAAAAAAGTGAAATTGAATAAGGAGGTTATCTCGGTAATATTACGGGAAATTGAAGTATATGTATGTATATGTAATGTTAAGTTAAACTGGTTTAATGTTCCGGCTGTCGGTAATAAACAAGGAAAAAGATTGAAATTGGGGTAATATATGTATTGTAAATGAATAAAAGTGTAAAAAATAAAAGGAATAGAAAAGTTGTAATTCATTTTGTGAATACATTTTTGTTCATAGCCTTATAGGATAAATCATGGTTGTTGAACATTGGTATTGGTACTGGGAAAATATTTTTTTAAGTAAAAAAAGATATAATTAATTAAAAGTTCTTGTTTGAGTTTTTTTTTTCCTTTCCCCCCCCCCCCCTTTTCTCTTGTTTATAATTTAATGGTCTGTGTATGTGTGGAATACCGTAAAAGGAAATAGGAAAAGTTTAAAACGTGTTTGTGTTTTGGAACGCAATCATGGATTGATTTTGTTTTTGTGTATGAAGTAATTTTTTTTTAAAAAGGAAAATTAAATAACAAAAGTGTTTAGTTAATTTAAATTTTTTTTTTGTAAAAGATTTTTTTTTTAATTATAAAATTATTTTTTTTTTCAATTAATTTCCCGAAATATTAAATTATATTTCTTTTATTAAATTGAAGTTTTTGTTGTTATAAAGTCAATTTTTTTTTAACAAGAAATCATTACTACCATTTTCTGTAAACTAAAATAAAGAAAAGGTCAACGCATATTCTTGAACCGGTAAATTATATTTTTTTTATTAAATTGAAGTTTTGTTGTTATAAAGTTTTTTTTTAAGTCATTACTTCTAATTTCTGAAAATCAAAATAAAGAAAGGGTCCACGTATAGCCTTGAACAAGTTATCCACGAATATTTTATCACCTTCGGGAAATGGAAACAATATCCCGTTTAGTAGACCTTGGAGATTTTTATCTCCAGGTCACATTAATCAAGAAGCACGATGGTATGACCCTGGGAGAAGGACGCCGGAAGGAAAATCAACCACCGACGTATGGGAGTAGACGGAAAAAATGTTATAATTGTCAGGGAGAGGGTCATCTCAGACATCAATGCACGCAACTACCCAGGGATCGTGTACCTATGGGGGTGTTATCGGAAAATGCGCGGGTAGAACCATATGAAGAAAAAAGAAAGATATATAACGAGATGAATGTGGAGCAGCCGACAACTTCTGTTCTTATGGGACCGGCCATACCTGCGGATAAGCGTCCTCCGAAAAGACCAAGTTATAATGATGGACTGCCACAATTAGGGAATTCTCGCTGACATGGATATGTTGCAGAGAGCTATGGCTACAATAGATACTGAGGTTCTACCGACGACTAGTGCAGGGGATTTTTGGAGCAGTCCCATGTCGGCTTAGGGTGAGGAATATTCATTTAACATGAAGGTGAGCATGAACATTTTTTTTTTATATACATGTAGAAAAAGATTTTTTTTTGTTTATCGACATGAAAGATTTTTTTTGTTTATCGACATGCCCTGATCCCATAAAGGGGTGGCATGTCGTATTTGTAAATACGTGAATGTTTTATATTTTTTTTTAACGCGGAATGCCAATCAACCTAGATTAGATGTAATACATATATGTAAAATTATTATTATATTTTTTTTATTTTTTTTTTTTTTTTTTAGAAAATTAATTTCTTTTTATATAAAAATTAGGGATTTATATTGTGATTAAATTGTTTTTTATTTCGGAAATTATTAATAAAGAAAATCATTCTTCGCGAGTTATATTTCCTGTCTGCTTGGTGATTTTGTAGTTTCGGGAATTTGTTTGAGTTGTTTTTGTTTTTCTCTTAGTTTGTGTTTAGGATTTTTTTTTTAGTGTGTAAGTTTAGATTCGAATAAAGTCTTAAGTTTTTTTTTATAAATTATATATTATTATATTTTAGATTGATTGAAATTGTGGTGAAGTATAGTATTGTTTAATTTTATATAATTTTTAAACAAAAAAATCAAATTTTAGCAATATTTAGTAGTATAGATTATTTAAGATGGTAATGGTAAAAAGATTAAAACATAATTTTTAAATTTTATGTTCTTATATTTTAAAATTAAAATTAATTCTAATATTTTATTTGACATTTTTATTTTAGATATTCCTAGATCAAACTTTATGTTACAAAAGATATTAAGAAAGTGTCACACTTACTAGTGTAGGACAAGGCTATAAACAGAGGATATTCACCAAAGAAGAAGGAAATATAACTAAATATCCAAGCTGGCCAAATTTTTTATGACCTTTCAATGAAAAAGGTATAAATTTATTCTTCATTATTTTATATTGTTCTTTGGGAAATATTATCCTAATGAAAAAAAAATTTCCTAAATTTTAGAAAGACAATTCAATGGCTGGCCATGACTGGTACTTAGGATTTATGTTAAATCCCACTCTCTCCTTAAGGTCCCCTGGGGCTACTAGTATTCCTAGGGATGAAGAAAATGAAAGGTTTATTAAATGATATGTTAAGTAAATGTTTTACATTTAATATTTAGTAATATGATGAACTTAGATTAGAATGTATGGCAATTTACAACATGGATAACTGGATTTACCACAGTTCAAACCCCTTCCAAGATAATTGCACAGAAGGGTCAAAACCGGTAGTATCTATGACTTCCGCAGAAAGGGGTACGTTAATTACATAGTTCTAACTGTAAATGCAATTAGCCATACAATTCCTCCAATGTTTCCTTTTCCTAGAAAAAATATTATATCTATTTTGTTAGATGATCCATCTGGCTCTATAGTAGTAACAAATGGTTCAGGTTGGATGCAAGAGGAGGATTTTGTTATTTTTTTGAAACATTTTTCTAAACACTCGGTTTACTCCAGTGTCCAAAGTTTTATTGATCCATGAAAATCATATGTCACATCACTCAACTGTCAAATTTTGTATAGATACGGGGATAATTCTATTATCTTTGCCATCCCATTGCATCCATAAATTACAGCCTCTTGATTGGTCTGTTGATGGGCCTATCAAAAAATATTACAATATTACAATTGATTCCTGGTCGTCATCCAGGAAAATTATTCAAAATTTATGATATTCCTTCTGTTATTAAGGAGGTCTTGCCTTTAGCAGCATCACCTCTCAATATAGCAAAAGGTTTTACTAACATTAGATATATTCAAGAAAAAAGATTGTATTACCTCAGTTTATAGGGATTCTTTATGTGAATTTCCTAAAAGCTCAATATTAAAATCAAGCTCGGTCTCTTTTGTATTTAAAGATATTATATTAAGAGAACCTTAAATATATGTAATGATGCTCTATCATTCTCTTGTGTTCATTTAGATGATATTCCTGGTCCTTCCAACAATTTATCAATATTCTCGCCTCCCCAAAAAAGAAAGAATTAAGAGAGTGAAAAAAAGGGGCGAGATATTTTCATCATCTCTCTATAGAAAAAAAGAAATTGATGAAAAAAGAAAATATTTGCAAGAAAAAAATAGTAAAAAAAATTATTCACAAGATATTTGTATTAATTGTAAGCTGGATATATAAAACATCATAACGGCGAAGAGTAATGAGAATGTGCCAAAGATGAGCACATGGTACATGTTCAAAAGATAAATATTTTATATGTCCACAAAATGTTTATTAAATTAACCAAAATTAAGCTTCAATTTTTATATATAATTAGATTCAATTTATAAGTATTATTATTTTGAGCAATTAAATTATTCTATTCGTATCATTATTATAATAATCTCTCATTTGCCTTTTAAATTTATATAATCTTTTTCGACACCACCTCAGTCTGCGAATAAATGAGTCTGCATTATCTAAACCTAGCACTTATTGAACAGACATTTATATCTTACTATTTTCTCATGCACATAATATCCAGCTAACATAAAAATAAATTGCTTATTGGGATAACTAATAACATATCTTCCATGATTCGTGCTGCACCTACCATTAAAAATTGTCCATTATGTAATAAACTATAAGTAACCAAATGAAGCCACGTCATAGGTAGTGTGGTTAATTGGCTAAGCAGTGTCATCGAACAGAGCAGATCTAAATTTTGGCTTGTATTTATCGATCCCAACCCGAATCGAGGCTTCAAAAAACATATAAATATAATGATAAATAACATTTAGATATTAATATTATAGACAAGAAAGTTTAAAACTTCTTTTAATTTTGAAACTGATACACTATAATCTATTAATGAACATCTAAATCTTAAGAGGTAAAATTTTTTAGTTGAGATTAACCATAAAGAATGCAACTTACAATGTCATAATAGGAATTTTTAAACTTTTTTAGGACAAATGGGTAAAAATATAAATTGTAAACATGTTAACAAAATTCCAATGAAGATGAAGTCTAGAAGAGTGACAAATATTATGATCGCTATTTTTAAACTTTTCTTGGTGAAAATGGGCAAAAAATATGTTTTAAACATGTTAAATTAAGATTTTAGTGAAAATGAAGCATAGAAGAGTGACAATTGTCATAATTCAATATTTTTTTAACATTTTTTGAAGAAAGTAAAAATATATTTTGTAAATATGTTAAATTAAAATATCAGTGATGATGAACCATAGAAGAATGACAATTGTCATATCGTTATCTTAAATATTTTTTTATTTTTTGAAGCAAATGGGTTATAGTTGTAACATGTTAAATTAAGATTTCAGTAAAGATGAACCATAGAAAAGTGACAATTATCATAATCGTTATTTATAAACCTTTTTGGAGAAAATGGGTAAAATTATATTATAAATATGTAAAATTAAGATTCCAGTAAAGATGAACTATAGAAGAGGACAATTTTCATAATAATTATTTTTCACTATTTTGATGAAAATGAGGAATGTTAAATTAAAATATCAGCGAAGATGATCCATAGAAGAAAGAATTGTCATAATCGTTATTATACCCCGGAAAAATACCCTCGGATAAAATGATCTTGAACAAAAAGACACTGGAAAAATATCAGATTTTAATCATTTTTAAATATTAAAAAATGGAAGAAAGTTTTTAAAATATTATTAATTTCATCCTAACATATGTTTCATTCTTCATTAAAAAATATTTTTAACTGATGATAATCATTTTATTTTGACATGAATTTTTATAAAAACCATGCACATATGTGGAATACTGGGTAGGTTTAGCAGATGTTGGCTAAATGTTACTAAGCGATTTTTGGCAGTTTTTAAAATATTATTAATTTCATCCTAACATATGTTTCATTCTTCATTAAAAAATATTTTTAACTGATGATAATCATTTTATTTTGACATGAATTTTTATAAAAACCATGCACATATGTGGAATACTGGGGAGGTTTAGCAGATGTTGGCTAAATGTTACTAAGCGATTTTTGGCAGTTTTTAAAATATTATTAATTTCATCCTAACATATGTTTCATTCTTCATTAAAAAATATTTTTAACTGATGATAATCATTTTATTTTGACATGAATTTTTATAAAAACCATGCACATATGTGGAATACTGGGGAGGTTTAGCAGATGTTGGCTAAATGTTACTAAGCGATTTTTGGCAGTTTTTAAAATATTATTAATTTCATCCTAACATATGTTTCATTCTTCATTAAAAATTTTTAACTGATGATAATCATTTTATTTTGACATGAATTTTTATAAAAACCATGTACATATGTGGAATACTGGGGAGGTTTAGCAGATGTTGGCTAAATGTTACTAAGCGATTTTTGGCAAGGCCTTTATTATGTATTAAGGTTAATATAAGCATAGATAATGAGAAATACTTAATTTTATTAGAGACTAAATCCACTACATTCGATAAAATTTAACAGTAACTTAAAGCTGTGTATAATAAATAAAAATTTTAAATACCCTTTTCTAACATTATAAAAAATTTATTAAAATTTGGATATTTTGGTATCTTTATTATGCCTGATGATATTTTTGACAGATGCCCTTTTGTTAGAGGGTATTTTTGTCCAGATTTTTTTGTGCAGGATGTCTGTATTCCGGAATTTATCATTTTTAGTGTTATAAGAAATGGGCAAAAAAGTTCTTTAATTGCTGTTTTAATGATATAATTTGGGTATACTAGATTTACGCTCAATAGGGATTTTTTTCATTTCACAAAAAGAAGTATATTTAACATAATATTTTTAATGAGGGGGCGATTCTGATTAATTATCTATTAGTGAAACGAGATTTTTTTTTAAAGTTTGATATATGGAGAGATATTAAACAATCATATTATACAAGACTGCTCCAACAATCTAAAACAAATGATAAACGAGATGCTTTATCTCTGATATTTGCAACTATATTGAGATCATATCAAATTAATAATGAGAAAAATTCATTTTTTTATATACTTGAAAATTATATTATAATATTTTAATAAGAAATTCTTATATATTTAAAAAAATAATTATATCGATGCCTTGATACAAATATATTTTTAAATAAATTGTAACCTAATTGGATTGATAAACATATATATCAATATTTTCTTCACCAATAATACTTTGTATTTCACTGTTCTCATTTGATCAATTTATTAATCTGTCAACGTGCTTACCTAAAAACATTTAGATATTTAATGAGAATTTATTAATCTGTCAACTTGCTTACCCAAAAACATTTAGATATATTATTGAGAATTTAAAAATATCATCTAAAGCACCACAGCAATTTGGAAATTAATATTTCATCTAAAATTCAACTGCAACTCTTATAGAATCGCTTACCTTAAGCTCAGACAGATGTATGTTCTTTCCAAATTGCAAAACCTACTACTAAATACTATATTTGCGATTGTTAATTTAGAATTCTTATATCCATAAATATATTTTCTTGATCTTTTTTCTCTTTCGTCTTGATCCTATAATATTAAATCGACTTAGAAAAAATAGAGTTCATAAAAATTAAGTAATTAGTTGAACAAAAATAGAAAATTAGTTTGTAACCTATGAGCAAACGAAATAAATCGTCCGAAACCTCGTAACGAATTTCGTTGATTTAGGAGAACTGATAAAATCGCAAATTTTAGGAACATTATTAGCGTTATATATTAATTTATCACCATGTTTCTAATCTATCCAGATTAAAATTAAAGAAATTTTTATTTATTAGAAATATTACGTCAAGTTATTTTTTTAAAAAATAATTTAATTCTAGAAATTTTTTAATATGGTCTTTAATAAATGGATTACATATATTATTATAGTTATACCGCTATGTTACAATAAAAAATTAACTAATGATAAGCTGGGATTTTCTTTCTTTGACCAAAGTTTATTTAAAATACATCCTAAAGATAGAGCTATGTTCAGAAATAAATGTCTGGATATTAATATTTTATGCACAGAAAATGAACTTAGAAATTTTGAATGGATAGATTCAAAAGAGCTTAAAAAAAATCAAGTAAATTTAGTTTTTCCAACTTGATATAAATGTATTTAGGAACATTTTTTAAACCTATATTCCTGCAAAATGCTTAATCGGTCTAACGATTGTCCTGGTAACTTATGCTGCGTTTATAGTAATCACGTTATCTTCAAACGTTGCGTTATTTAAAGCAGCATTATTTTAAAAACTAATAAGATATAGCTAAAATAGTGATAATTATTTTATATAATATTTAAGAAATATACCTTATTTTTATCATATTACATATTTTTTTTATCAATGCATCACATCATATGTTTTTCAAATGTTATCATAGCGTTATCATCATAACGCTCCATATTTATACCTATTTATTGGCCTTATTTTATAAGAATGCTGTGTTAAACGCAACGCTTAAAGATAACGCGTTTATTATAAATAAGGCCTTATTTATCATTTTAATTGGCTGAATTTTTTAGTTGATGGAAAATGGTCTCGTTGGAGCGAATGGTCATCATGTGATAATATATGTGGAATGGGAAAAAAGATCCGTTATCGATTATGTAATAATCCCCTACCCCAAAAATTAGGATTTTATTGTTTAGGAATGGCTCATGAAACTTCAGTATGTTGGAACAAATGCAACATCACTTTAAATAGTTACGATTTTATATAATCCGATTTAATATGTTTTAGGTATAAAAAAACTTTCTTGGGAATATTTGAGTGAAAATCAAAAAATCATGTTCAATAATATTGCTATAAAATATCCAAATATTTCCAGTCATTGTTTGTATAGCCAATGCCATTTTGATCAACTCAAGGAAGAAATTAATAACATTAATACTGTGCATATGTTTTGGGCCATTATAAATTGCTTAAAAGAATTAAGAGGTTGTAAAGGTATAACCAAAAATTTATTTATTTAAACAAAATAACACATTTTATAACCTTTATAAATATCTACCCTTGTGATGTATTTAACAAATTAATTTGACGGGGCATTAGTAAACTAAGTAAAATAACATGAAATTTCTGAACTATGCAAAAATTACTAAATCACGCTAATGTGTAAAGAGTATATTAAATGAGGCAAATACAGACAGATATCCAAAAAACAAGCATTGTGCATTATTACACTTAAGAAAACTTTTATTTGATATGTAACTTTTTGAAAAGTTGTGACCCTCCACTCAATGATCTAGATCAGTGACTTCAATCATAAAATATATTTTAAAAAATAATATAACAAATTAAAATATATTATCTCAAAAAATATATTTAAAAAAAATATCAATCAAAAAATATTAAAAAAATCCTATTACACAAAAAATCTCAAAAAAATTAATTTTAGCGATCAAAAGATATATCAAGAAAATTTATGTAAAAAATAAATATATAAAAAATCATTTTAAAAATATATATTAAAAAAAAATATCAATCAAAAAATATATTTAATAAAATATTAAAAAATAAATTTATAATATAAATTAATATAAAAAAATTAATGAAATATAAATTTGTCGAAAATCGAAATTAGGGTTAATGTTACATCTTTTTTTGAAGTAAATTATAGATAAGGTGAATATTTTGTATAATGAATAATATTTATATTATATAATAATATTTTATTTATTTAATTAAAAATTAATAATAAATAATTAATTTCTAAATATAGTTGCAATGCAAAATATAAATAAAATTAAGAAGACACTTTTAATATATAATAAATAACTATATTTGATGAACTAGGAGGGAAATGGGAGTGTTTCGAAGAAACATTTGTAGTTCCCCTTTAGGATTTCAAATTGGATTTTTTGTTTAAGAGAGGGACTCGTTTTTGACCCCTGTCCTTAACGAAATTTTTCTACCCATTTGATTTAAGAACTTTAGGGATTGGGGACCGGGGTTTCCAAGGACGCTAAAAATTAGGGGAACAAATATAAAAGAATTAGGGAGGAATCTATTTAAACTTATTGGTTTCTTGTAGTTCCAAGGCCGGAAAGGAGGTAACACAAGAGAAGTCCCAGACAAGTCATTTGCCGCCGTGCCAAGACGTTAAAGACATGCAGTCGGGGTGCTTACCGTCCGCATTTAGGAGACCTAATGGCTCCAAACTATTGGGGAAACCGGCCGAAATCAAGGCTTTGCCGATTAACCTATTAAGGTTGTCGTGCCTCAGGAAACGGCCATTGACTTTGAGGCACGAGAAATAATGTCTAGAGAAAGGATCAACTTGTTTGTGACAGGCAGCACAGGTGTCCACAGAAGGGATAAGGTAACCAAGCCTATGGCCAATGGCAGTTTGAAACTCATCGTCTGTGAGTATCGTTTCCTTTTTACCACTCGGAATCGCGTCTAGCCATTCATGGCCGTTAGAGTTTTTTTTGCGTTTCTGAGCAGTTGAAGGTTAGTTAGATCGGGATACATACAAAGTTTTCAAACGCGCATTTAAGCATAGAGACCAGGAAGCTCTTTAGATGACTGGAAACTGGCTGCTCGGAGGCTTGGATAACTAGAGTAACTCACTCTTATTTAGCTGAAGATAGAAAGGGATCGTCCAACTCGATAAGCGAGGAAATAGAATCGTTAAAGGATATTCGAGATGAAAGAAAGCACGCAATTACCATTAGGAAGGGGGGTGAAAATCTAAGTCCACCCCGATAAGCGGGCATAGAGGCGAGAGACCAATTGAAATCGGAAAAATTTAAGCCTAAAGGGGATTCGATAAAATGTTTAAATTTTAATTCGAAGGCCTTAAGAAGGGTATTATACTGGAAAGCGGGGGAAGATTTAAATAAATGTAAGAATTTCGGTAGAAAAAGACATTTTTTGGTGAGAAAGAAGAATTGATGCTTGGGGAGATGAGGAAGATTCTTGAGTGAATTGGAAAGAGACTGGATTAAATCGTCAAATGTTTTTTGACAAAAGGAAGTAGAAAAACCGATAGGGGAACCTAAAAGACAGAGTTTCTCGTGCGGAATGATTGTAAAATTTAAGGAGGGATAAAATCCTTATTGTTGAGGGAGGAAATTTCACACTTTTTCCTATTTAGGGAAAGACCAATTTTAGAAGCTTCCATTTCAACGTACTCTATGGCCAACATAACATTGGATAAAGAACCGCCAAAAGAGCCATCGTCGAGATACCATAAATTAAGGTCTAATTTGAAATCAGACTTTAAATTTTTGATTAAATCCTGAATCCCTATAGTAAAGAGCAAGGGACCTAGTGGATCACCTTGCTAAATCCCCTCTCCGGAGGATATGGAAAATTCCTCGAATTTGAGTAACGAAGGGAATTTATAACAGGAATTAAGGAAATTCCAGTATTTTGGGAAATGGTGTAAAAAAGATGGTAAGAATTCCCTCCTATGGATGGTGTTGAAGGCATTTCTGAAGTCTAACTTGCAGAAAACCTTATCGACCTCAGTATTTATAAAAATGCGCGCAACATGTGAGGCCACTTCACAACCACCTCTTACTCCAAATCCTAACTGTAAGGGAAATAAGAAGGAAATAAGAAGGAACTGGCCTTAGGCCGAATCCTATTTACAATAGCCTTGACGACTAAACGACGAAAGAATGACCCTATGGCTATGGGTCTAATGCCACCATCCGGTTTGGTTAAAGAAACAAGACGTGCGCCAAAAAGAATAGGAGGAATACAAAGAGGAACTTCGCTAACGAAGATATTAGTTCAGTTAATGATTTCGGCAAAGGGTCAATAAAACCACTATCGGAGCATTGAATTAAGTCCACAAAAAAACGAGGTCTAAAGCCGTCCAACCCACCTGTCGTCCCTTTTTTAAAGGACTTTAAGCACTTAAGTACTTCATCACAGGTAAAAGGAATAGGGGAAGAGGCATGCGCGTGAATGTTAAAAAGGGGAAGCTAGTGGATGTTTTTCTAGAAGTTGTTGAAAGATAGTAACGTTGATAGGTGAAATAGTATCATCGGAAGTCAATATTCGGGCAGCACCGCTAATATTTCCAAGATCTAATTTTTCAGAGATCAATTTACAACGGAAAGAGTTGGGATTAGATGGAGAAAATTCATCGATAATCGTATTTCCAATTGTACACTTTCTCCTTGATTGAGGCAGATAAGTTATTTATTCTATTCTTGGGCTTAACTTAAACTCGAAAGCAGAAACTAATTAAATCTAACTACAAGGGTATTGAGGAGAAATCTGTGTTTAAATTATTCATAAGAGACATAAGGAATATTGAGATAGACTCTCGAGCAGCTATAGGGATCCTAGAAAGAACTGGGGGCTTATGCGATTTAAGGAATAAATCAACAGAGCTTGAGCAACAACAAGCCTGACTGGGGTCATACGAGTGAGGAGCATTAATAAAACGATCTGGGCAGGAGGAGAAGGGAAATTTTCCAGAATTGGAGCAAACGGGCGAACCATGTTTCCTAAACACGCCATGTAAATTAAGCGAAATTATTTTTAAGCATACTTGACAACAAGAGTTTACCATGGGATGGCTTTTGAAAGGGGGAAAACAAAAAAAAAATATTAATGGATATAACTTTGAATGGGAGAAAAAGAAACAAAAAAGATATTAGCAAGGGTAATGGGGAAAAAAATCAAAATTGAAAAAAAAGAAAGATACATAAGCTATCCTATCAGAAGTATAATCGAGATTAGAGGGGTTGGTAAATTTAAAAAAAAAAAATTAAAAAATAAGGCTAGATACATAAAGTATAAAAAGTATTATTAAGATACAAAAAAAGGTATAAACAAGAAAAATGGGGGAAAGAAAAAATCAAAAATTGAAAAAAGAAACATTCAAGAACTGTAAGAAGTATTATTATGAACTAGGACTATTCAAAAACGAATTCGAATCGAATAGTGCATTATTCAAACGAATCGAATAATTTACTATTTGAATTCGTACGAATAATAAAATCTACTATTTGTATTCGATTCGAATATTTCGAATAATTCGAATTAATTTTTTTAATAAAATAAATCATACTCAAATATATTGACAAATTTTTACAAATTTGATTTTAAACAGAAAAAATTATAATAATATGTAATCAATAATCTGATAATAAATAATATATAATCAAGTTATAAACAAAATTAAAATATATATTATTAATTTAATTTATAATTTAAGCCAATTTTTAAGGCAAAGGGTTTTTCTTATATTTTCTTCCTTATATGACATGCGGTTTTTGGACAATAAATTAGTTCCAACTGAAAAAAGCCTTTCACAAACAGTTGATGTTCCTTGTATAGATAGATAATCCCTTGCCATTTTCGAGAGTATGGGGATCCGATATGCATTTGCCTTCCACCACATTAACGGGTCAGTATCACTCTTTGCTCTTGGTTCACTCAGATAAAAATCTATTTCACACAGTTGAATATTATTTTGTTTAAAAATAATGTCTAGCCTGTTTTGTTGAATTTTATCCTTATTTTTTTGACAGTTATAATTATGAGCTTATAAAATAAAATCATATTTAAATGGGGGTAAATTAAATACCTGTATATCTATTGTAAATCTCTTTAAATTTGTCCATTAACTTGGATATATCAATATCATAATCAACAGATATTGATTTAAAATATTCTACTTTAAGCCTGGGATCTAATATTGTGGTTATTATTGCATAAAATAATAATAGCCCAACAATTTATCACATGCTACTTTGAAACGATTGTTAAAGGATTTATGGAAACCAGGTTTTTCATTTTTTAGATGTTCAAGAATTAAAATATAATAAGGTATAATCAAATTATAAGTAGGATAATTCTCACCACATACTATATTTGTAGTTTCATATAAAGGCAATAGTATAGCTTTAATTTTTATAAGATCCTCCCATTCTTCCTATATGTTATCAAAGTATTATATTATTAACTAATTATAAATTTTA